GGGCGGGGGGGGGGGAGGGCAGAGCGGGGCGGGGCGTCGTGGCGTGCACCTGCGCTTCCAGCGGCTGCAGCAGTCGCTCCCCGAACCTCGACCTTCCCCGGCCGTTCAGCCATTTCCCCCAGCACTGTTCTTCTTTGGGCGCGGGCCCCGGTGTCGCGGAGGGAGGGCGAGTGGCCGCCTCGGGCCTGGCTCGGGCTGCCGGCTGGGCGGGGAGGCCCTGGGAGCTCTGGACAGAGGGCGAGGAACCTTCTAGAAAACGGCCGCAGGGCGGGTTGGAAGGCCCAGCATCCTGTGGTGTGTCCAGGGTCGTGGGCTGGAGAGGAGAAGGGCGGGGAGGCCTGCGGGTGGTGATTCAGGGTCGGGGTCACCTCAGCAGGAAGGTCGTGGGTTAGGGTGGTTAAAATCAGAAACAAACCGAGACCAACCTTGCAGGGTCCCTGAGCAGACAGAGCCAGTGTGGTCGTGGGAGCAGAGCTTATTGTGGCCTCTTTTGGCAGGGCGAACTTGACTTGGATCATTTCTTGCTGTGCCTCTGGAAATGATGAGCAAAACGTGAACTATGTGCCGAGGTTGACAGACGGCCCCCGAAAAGTGCAATGTTGTAACGAAGCGCTGTGAGGAACAGTCTCCGCTGTCCCGCTGTGCGAGCTGCTCTATTACAATATATCCCCTGAGCTTCCTTCCTGGTCTGCAAATTCATTTTGGTGCGTGCACAATAAAGTTTGGCTGATTACGACTTCGGCTATTCATTGGTTTTACTTTGGCTGTTTTGAGCCTTTGGCAGGGTCCGGGTCACCTCCGACGGGAGGGTCCCTCAGACAGGAGGGATACGGGTCAGCCTGGGGGCATCTGGAGCTGAGAGGGTCTTGAGGTTGCGTTGGGGTCGACCATGGATGGGAGTGTCCCAAGGCAGGGGCAGAGTCACCTGGTGCAGACAGGTCCTGAGGCTGCCCAGGGATCCCCTGGGGGGCGGTGAGGTCGCGTGGCGGGGGCGGGGCGGGACTGGGCGAGGGGCTAGGGCCTGAGTCTCGTGCGCGGGGCAGGGAGGCGCGGGGCCAACAGTCGCTGCGGGCCGGCCCGCTCGGGTCTCCAGTGCCCGGACTGAGCGCTGCCAGGGGCCTACGACTCCGGATCCTCGGCGTCAGAGGCGCACCTGCAGCTCAGCTGCCCGGCGGCGGGGCTTCCCCGCAGCGGTCCGGGGGGCGCACCTGGGGCGCCGCCTGCTGCCAGCCGGGCTCCGGCCGCTCCCAGCGCATCTCCGCGACCGGGACGCGGCCGATAGAACCGTAAAGTAATGACCCCAGTCTGGAGGCTTCTGCCCCAGCCACCCAAAGACTCCCGAGGATTAGTGATTGCGGGGCCCCTTGTCTTTTACCATCTGAAGTGGTGCTGTTTACTTACTCATTTGTTGGCTTTCCTTCCCTCTGTCTCCCTCACTACAACGTGGGCTCCAAGAAACAAGGGACTTTGTCTACTTCATAGCTACATCTCAGGGTCCCAGAATGCCTGGCACAGAGGTGGCACTTGGTAAATAGTTGCTGAATGAAAGAGTGAGAAAACCTGGCTTCACATCTGGCCCTGGCCCTTTAACTAAGTGCGGGCACGTCATTTGACCTTTCAGAACCTCCATCTCCTATCCCTAAAATCAAAGTGATGATACTAGTCATACCGAACTCAAAAGTATTTTGTTTTAGGGTCAGATGAGAAAACGCATAAATGCTTATCACAATGCCTGACGCACACGTGCAAAAGAAATGATAGTGCCACGTGGGTATAGCTAGAGACTCACACAGGCTGGTCTCTATAATGAGCATACAAAACCCCCATAACAAAAACAAGAAAAACCACATCAACCAACCAAACCAAAAAACCACCCCCAAACAAAAACAAAAGAACTGAATGCAATTATAAGAGAGGTGTGTGTGTGTGTGTGGGGGGGGGGGATTATTAATGTGTCGCAAGCATCTTAAAGACCCTCTCTCCCCATCACCCCCTCCCTCCCAACCCAAGTGTCTGCCGGGAGACTCCATAAGCCTGGCTGACTAGCCTCTTCCTCATTCAATCTTTCAAGAACCAATCCTTGCCATTTCTAAGTTATATTGGTTACACCTTGCAATTTTTTTCCATCCCTTTCTAAACCTGAAAGCGTTCTGCATAACCAAATCCAGGATCAGAGCCCGCTGACTCAGACTTCCCTCAGACAGAAGGGAAGGTGGGGGTACAGGAAGAGGGAGCATGCAGACCAAGACGGACACATGCAGAGTACTAACTTACACTTTTGTTCTTAATCCTGTTAGGGTGCTCGCATGGTAACTATTATCAGCCATTGTAATCATGAACTGAGAGGGTATGAAGGTCAATGGCAAAGGAAGATGTTCTGTGGGAAGATTCCAGGCTCTGGGCACTTGGTCACGAACAACTGTGCGCAGAGGGCTGGACCCTTCTGGTATTTGTCAACAATCACATCTCTGCTGGAGGCCCACTAAGCCTAGGTGCTCCATCCGGTGTCCTATTCCAAGCGGAGGTCCAGATAAGGGTCGGAATTTGTTCACAGTTACACAGTAGAGGTGAGACCAGGAGCCAGGCAGTCAGGTTCCAGGACTCTTTCACAGTCTCTGGTATGTAAATTACATTCAAATAGCGTGAACGCATGCCAAGAAATTGCAGGGAATTCTCCTTGGGAGTCCTGTGGCTCAGACATGTGTCAAGATTGATGGCAAAAGTTAAAGCCCATGGTGACACTCATAAGCAAAGCTATGGCTTTACAAAAGGCACTAAACCTTGTTATTGCAAAAGTCGGCTGGCACGTATATATACTTACACACTAATGCATCTTAAAAAGGAAACCAATACGTCAGCAGCTATTTCTTTTGCAGAGGTACAAACACTATCTCCCTGCCTAACTGTAACTATATATGCTTATATATGTACTTTCTTGTACAGCAGTACCTAAGTTGGTGGTATTCAATGCAGAATTTTTAGAATAGGATTTCTCTGATTGTTTCCATAGGATTCACTCTAGACCAAGGGTTATACACATACTCCTTCATTCTGTGATGGAGAGGAATTAATATTGTAGTGGCTAAAATATGGTTATGGACTGTGGCCACGCAGCCTTAAATCCCAGCTCTTAATGCCTGACGTAACCTCCCTGTAGCTTGGTTCCCTTGTGTAAAGTGGGGATCACGCAGTACTCACTTCCTAGGATTGTCGTGAGCATTCACAGCACGAAAACACACAGAATACTTCGAAAAGTGTTTGGCACTTAGCGAGGGTCCAGTTCCTAGTTTGGGGGAACTTTTGAGTAAAGCCTTCTATTAATAATTTGTATATAGGTTCTTGGGTAAAAAAAAAAAAGTTTTTTGTGTGTTTGAAAATAAACATTAATTTTACTTAGGTAAAACCTTAGAAATAGGATTGTTGAATTGTATGGAAGTGTGTGTTTAGCTTTAAAAGAAACCACAAGAAACTGCCAAAATATTTTCCCATGTGACTGTGCCATTTTGCATCACCCCTGGCGGTATATAAGAAGTCCAGTCGCTCTGTAACTTTGCCACCTCTTAAAATGTTTTTTTAGCCATTCTAGTAGCTATGTAGTAGTATTTTATTGTGGTTTGAATTTGCTTTTCCTAATGACTGATAATGCTGAGCATCTTTTCATGGGCTGATTTGCCATATATATGTGTGTGTGTGTGTGTGTGTGTGTGTGTGTGTGTGTGTGTGTGTATCCTTTTTGAACATGTTTAAAAATTGGGTTAATTTTCTTACTGTTGAGTTTTGAGAATTTTATATACTCTGCATGCAGCTCCTTTGTCAGATCAGCAATTTACAAATATTTTCTCCCAATCTGTGCCTTGTTTCTTCACTCTGTTAATCTTTTGTAGAGAAAAAGGTTTCAATTTTGATGATGTCCAATTTTTCAAATTTTCTTTTATGCTTTTGGTGTCATATCTCAGGAATCTTTGTTTAATCTGAGGTCATGGGAGACATTCTTGTGTGTGTGTGTGTGTGTGTGTGTGTGTGTGTGTGTGTGTGTGTGTTAGAAGTTTTAGGGTTTTAGGCTTTGCAATTAGGTCAATGCCCTATTTTTTTTTTAAGTAGGCTCCAAGCCCAGCCTGGAGACTAATGCAGGGCTTTGAACTCACGACCCTGAGATCAAGGCTGGAGCTGAAATCAAGAGTCAGATGCTTAACCGACTGAGCTCCCCAGGTACCCCCCAATGCTCTATTTTGAATTCATTTTGTATAATGGATTGAAGTACCGACCAAAGTAGAGGTTTACTCCCGCCCCCCATACATGGATTCCAGCTGTTCCACCACCATCCGTGAAAAAGACACTTCCTTTTCCACTGATCTGCCCTTTTGTGGAAAATTGACCACGTGTGAAGATCTATTTTTGGACTCTTCTGTTCCATTGATCTGTGTATCTTTATTCTTTCAGTCCAGGATTTTGTGTGTTTTTTCTGTAAAGTGCCTAGTATTACATTTTTTAGGCTCTGCATGCCAAGAGGCAACATTCAGGACATCATACAGATACTTGTTATATAAGACACAAGTTTCCACAAAAATTTTATTAGTGACGTTTGTATAATTGAAAATGTATATTTTTTGCAATATGTATCTACTAATGAGAAAAATGAAGTTCTTTGGATAACATATTGCTTTGCTGGGGTTCAAAGGCAGCATCCCCTACCATCAAAATTTATTGTAAACCTTCGTCTGTTAAAACTGACTTGTAATAAGATTTTGTGTGTTTCACCATGAATATGATTTCAATGGAGTGTATTCATGGCTTGAATGGCATTTATAGAATTCAGTTAGATTCCTTTCTTGATATTTGCCTTTTAGCATGTCATTACATTATAGATTAATTGCCACCAATTGAAGGTGAGGTAGAAACTCCTCAAACGCACAGTTAAATGGATTTTGAAATACGAAAATTTCCTTTGTACTTACACATCGCGTAAAAATGTGGAAAAAAATGCTGCTGGAACTGTAGTCTGAGCTTGGAAGATATATCTGCTGTGAATTTGTGTGGGAATGAAGATTTCATTTCTTGTTTTATCTTTTGATAGCATGCGAAGTGCTTACAGTGGTTTGCGATTACTTGTGATTCAAACAATGTTGGCTGTCATCTAAATGACTGTACTGCAGTGTAAGCTTCACACACGAGCGCTGTAAAAGCTAACTTCAAAGCTATTCATTGTTCAGTAACAGTGGTTGAGGGTAGATCTTCCAACCATTAAAAGGGGTCAAAACCAATCTTAACTTTGTAGGCTGGGTTGTAGTGGGTTGGATTTGGCCCATGGGCCATAGTTGGCTTGCCTGTGCTTCAGCTGATATTGTCATGATTAGTGTAGCTTTAATGAGGTAGTATGTGTCCAATTTTGTACCTCTTTCAAAATGATTTTGACTATTTTATTCCCTTTGCCATTTCATATGATTTTTTTTTCATTTCATATGAATTTTATTAAAAATTTTTTTTAACATTTATTTATTTTTGAGACAGAGAGAGACAGAGCATGAATGGGGGAGGGTCAGAGAGAGAGAGGGAGACACAGAATCCGAAACAGGCTCCAGGCTCCGAGCTGTCAGCACAGAGCCTGACGCGGGGCTCAAACTCACGGACCGCGAGATCATGACCTGAGCCGAAGTCGGCCACTTAACCGACTGGGCCACCCAGGCGCCCCATTTCATATGAATTTTAAAGTCAGCTTGTTGTTGCCTAGAAACTATAGTGGAGAGATTTTGATTCAGATGGCACTAAATCTAAAATTCAGTGTGAGTAGAAGTGATGTCTTAACAATACAGACTTCTCTAGTCCATGAATATGGTATGCCTTTCCATTTATTTCTTAAAACAATAACAACAACAAAACCTTTCATTAGTGTTCTTTCATCTAGATTCTGCACATATTTTGCTTGATTTATTCCTAAGTATTTCATTTCATCAGTATTGTCATTATCACAAATAGTACCTTGAAAAAACTTTGGGTTTCCATGTGTTCTTTACTAGTATATAGAAATACGATCAATTTTTGTATGCTGACCTTGTCCCCTAGGACCTTGCTAAACATACTTATTAGTTGTAAAAAATTTTTGTAGACTTCTTGGGAATATCATGACATCCGAGAGTAAAGACTTTTCTTTTTGCCTTATTATTATGTTTTTAGTTATATGTCACCCTTATAATATTTTTGTCTGGATTTGGTATCAAGGTAATGCTGACATCATAAAATGAGTTGGGAAGTAGTCTCACTTTTTCCAAGTCCTGGAAGAGATTGTATAGAATTAATACTGTTTCTTCCTTAAATGTTTGTTAGAATTTGCCAATAAAACCAACTGATTCTGGATTTTCTTTCTTAGAATGTTTGTAACTAGGAATATAATTTCTTTAGTAGAAATAGAACTATTCAGGTTACCTATTTCTTCTCGAATGAGTTTTGGTAGGTTATGTCTTTCAAAGAACTGATACCACCTACGTTGTTAAACAAACAGGCATCAATGCTGTCATTGAGATTTCTTCAGTTAATTTGAAATGTTTTATCACATACTAAATTCCCATGTATACTTTGGTGGATATATATAGATTCTTCTTTTTTTTTATTGAGCTGTTACTATCCTAGCCTGGTATTTTTTAATTAATGAAGTTATATAACAATAAATTGAATTTTTGGATAGTTCCTGGTCATTATCTGTCCCTTTCAGAATTTTCTTGCCTAACTTCACACCTTTGTGATTCATATGGACTTCTGAATCAGTTTTTTAAAAATCTTGTCGAAATCTTTATTGGGACTATGTAAACTTTGTAGAACTATTTAGGAGAATTATATCTTCATATGGACTCTTCCTATGCAAAGACAAGATCTATCTCTCCATTTACTTGACCCTTTTCTTATGTCTCTTGATAGGAGTTCTACATTTTTCTCTGTAAAGGTATTCTTCATATAGGTCATATGGGCATATTTCTCATTACATTTCTTCCTACATGTTTTCTTCTGGTGTTGCTATTGAAAAAATGCTCTTTTCCTCAAATATATTTTTCTACCCGGTTTGTTTATAAGAAAGCTATTGCTTTTCTTTTAATACTAATTTTGTAACTGGCCACTTCAACCTTCTTTTCACTGTTTCCTACGGTTTTTCAGTCATTCTTTTGGGTTCCCTGTGTATACAATTTTTTTTTTAATTTTTTTTTCAACATTTATTTATTTTTGGGACAGAGAGAGACAGAGCATGAACGGGCGAGGGGCAGAGAGAGAGGGAGACACAGAATCGGAAACAGGCTCCAGGCTCCGAGCCATCAGCCCAGAGCCTGACGTGGGGCTCGAACTCACAGACCGCGAGATCGTGACCTGGCTGAAGTCGGAAGCTTATCCGACTGCGCCACCCAGGCGCCCCCTGTGTATACAATTTTTAAAAATTTTTTCAAATGTTTTATTTATTTTTTGAGAGCGAGAGACAGAGTGTGAGTGGAGGAGGGGCAGAGAGAGAGGGAGACACAGAATCCGAAGCAGGCTCCGGGCTCTGAGCTGTCAGCACGGAGCCTGATGCGGGGCTCAAACCCACGAACTGTGAGATCATGACCTGAGCCGAAGTCAGATGCTCAACCGACGAGCCACCCAGGTGCCGCCCTGTGCATACAATTTTATGATGTGCAAATAATCATAGATTAGTCTCCTCTTTACCTATGTTTATGCCTCTTGATTCATTCTATCATGTGACCATAGTGGCACAGGACCACCAAGAGGTCATACAGCATGCTCTGCCTGCTGAAAAACTGCCAAAAGGTGACACCCACCAATTAGATAAAGGTACCTCCAGTTAGTTAAAGGCATCCCAACTATGCAGAACAATTAGATAAAGGAAGCCCTCTGAGTGGACCAATTAGTAAAGGTCCCTCTTTCTGCCAGTTGCCTCAGCCTTGTGTGAGGTTCACAGGGTGACTGGAGCAGACTGGGCCTCAGCCCTGTTCTTGTCCCCTTGGCTAGGTGCCCGTATAAGGGGAACAGCTCTCAGGACTGGACCTAATGGCTCTCTGTTAGCATTTCCAGAACGGTTAGAAAATAATGTTGCAGCTGGCACTGTAGTCTTGGTTTTGCTTAACCGCAATTTCTTCTAGTAGTCACCAAAAAGTGTCTTTGCCTTTGATTTGAGAGATATATAGTATTAGTATGGCACAGACAAGTCTTTTTCTAAGGTTAAGGGAAAAAGATCCGGGAATACACGGATTTTATCAAATGCCTTTTTGGAATTTATTGACACAATATTATGAGTTTAAACCTTTGACCAATAAATACGGTGAATTACACCAACAGATCTCATGATAGTGAAAATAGTGAATCAATCTAATATTTCTGCAGTGAACTTCCCATTTGCTCATGAGGTATTATTCCTTCCACGCACTTCTGGATTCTATAAGTTATCGAGGGCTTGTAGGTCTTCTTTTCTTCAGTGAGAATGAGTTGTAGGTTTTTTTGCTTGGCTGGTTGATTGGCTGGTTTTAAATGCCATCCTTCTCGGAGTTTGGTATCACTGTGATGCTAGCCTGGCTATTAAATATGGGAAGTTTTCTGTCTTTACGTTCATGGATCAGTTCAAACAGCATCAGAACAATCTCTTCCTTGCCGTTTAAAACAACCCACCCATCTGAGTTATTTG